TATCAATATTAATAATTAAAATAATATCTGAGAATTACTTTCGATGTTTTTAAAAGTGTGAATTTTTTGGCAGTCTAATTGGTCCATTTTAAATAATTTTATTATAAATTTGTTTTATTGCATGTTGTTTTTCGATTTTTGATTTACCTATATTTAATAATTCATTAAATACTGGTGTATCCATTCTCAGATATTCAACAAATTTATCTGGATCAGACTCTTTCATTTCTTTAATGAGATTGTTGCTTGCACCTTGCAACATTCTTTGTCTTATAGTAAATATGGGATGAACCCAAAATTTCCTTTAATACTTTCTTTTTTTTCAATCTTCTATACAACAAATATAATTTCAATAATTTTTGTCGCATTTTTTTTTTAATTATTATTGATGATTGTGAACTGCGTTGCCATTTAATAATTTCTCTCGTTAAGAGTATTTTAATTTTTTTCGATTTTATAATGATCTACAAAATAAAATTAATATAAAAATTAAAAATTAATTATTAATAGGTCAATTATTATTAATAATTTTATTACTTACCGAATAATTATTCATTAACAATAAAATGTCTTATAAAACTACGATCTCAATAATCTTTTGTATTTCACTAAAATAATAATAATATATATATAAACATTTTAAAATGTTTAAAAAAGGTTTGAAAAAAAATTAGTTATAACTTGCGTGCTTGTGTGTGTGTGTGTGTGTGAGTGTGTGTGTGTGTGTGTGTGTGTGTGTGTGTGTGTGTGTGTGTGTGTGTGTGTGTGTGTGTGTGTGTGTGTGTGTGTGTGGTGTGTGTGTGTGTACATAAACATGTATATTATATATATATAATAATTCAATGTTTTTTGTTACCAGAACGAAATCACAAATATGAAGCGGCCTGCATCATGTATTTACAATGATGGATCAAGTGAATCCGAGTTTAATATCAACAAACCGTTACCTACAGTTATAGACAGTCCATATATAGTTAATCAGGATACTGACTTTGATATTGCGCAGTCCGAAACAGACATGTATGACAGCATATCTTTGAGTAGTGGTATGTATTATGTATGAAATTGTTCTTATTAGCACTGCTTTGTAGTTTCTGGAAATAGTTCTTAAGAGAAGCGCCTTGCACAATCATGATCTGTGATCTAAATAAATAATTTCAATGTCTCTAGTGCAACTCGCATGTTTGATCATGTGCAATCAAGACATGGAAGTGTAACCGAGTGCCATTCATTTTAAGTGGTCTTATGGGTCGTTTCTATTTCTTATTTTTTAGGTGACAGTTTGCAGCAATCATTACAAGAAAAGAATAAAGTGCACAAATTTCATACAGAAGATCGTGTCCCTTTCTCCCCTATGGCACATGCAGTATTGAATAAAGTTTCATCAAAACAGTCGCTCTGTAACAAAACTGGCACAAAGGAAAAATACAAGCTAAAAGAAAACAGTAATGTAAAAGTACCAGAACCAGAATTCTGTAAGAAAAAAAAATAGATGTAGATAATTATATGCCCCCCGGAATTCCCCACATTATATTATAAGAAAATTGTGTAGACAAATAAGAGCCATAACAATGGACTCAGCAGTTTCTGGTTTACAGCATATGGAATTCTTTAAAATGGCCCATTTTGAAACAAGAATACCAAAGGCATTCTCAATTACTCTACGAGCTCTAGACAGCCTATAATTAAAAATTCTCTGTGGCATTGCAAGACCAGGTAGAGCGTGGTCCAAATATTCATTAATTCTTCCATTATCATTTAGTATATTTTCATTTTGTATATCTTTATCATTGTAATTACTATTGGCTTCAAAGATTGTTTGTGCTTGTGCTGCAGGAGCTTGTTGCTGATGTCGAAGTCTCTTTGGCTTCGCATAGGACCGCATCAAATAAGTTTTGAGTGGAAACGCTTCATCGCCTACAAAGGCAAATGGAAAAGGAGTATTTGTCCCTAACAATGGCTCTGGATGTGGCAAATCAATTAAGCCTTGCTCCAAGCTGGAACCGAAGTCACTGTTCAACCATACTCCACCGTCAGATATTGAACCTATATGCAAAAGAAGATTTATTTATGAAACTAGTTCGGTTAGTTACTAAAAATATTACTATTGACACAGAACTAACACACACCATAGTCACCAATGTCCACCCATTTAAAAATATAATCGGCATCACAGATTGCCATAAGAACAATTGAGAAAAATTTCTTGTAGTTGAAGAACAGAGAGCCTGAGTTTTTTGGAGCCTGAATTCTCACATGTTTCCCATCAAGCGCTCCTATACAATTAGGGAAATTCCACTTCTCATAAAATCCATCAGCTACATTACGCCAATCCTTTCTTGTCATGGGTGGTAAATATATTGGCTGTAAAGCTTTTATAATTGCATTACATGTCTCAGGGATAATCTTATACACTGTTGAGCGACCAATACGAAAAGACCACTTCTTCGACCACACACTGTCAGCGTGAGCAAGGTATCTGAAATACATTGAGAATAGTATTAAAATAAACTTTTTATATTGATCAAGAAACTACTTTTATATTAATCAAAAAATTACTGTTTGTGGACTTTACACGAATAATACTGATCAGTATTATTGAATCAATAATACTGACAATACATCAATATTTTTATAACACGATCAATATTATTGACAATATTTGAACAAATTTTATAGTTATACAGTACAGTTTTATGTACATTACAGATCTTACATTACACATGGTCAATGATACTATCAATACCAACAAATACAGACAATGTTATTGATAGATCCAAATTTCTTCATTCATGAGTATTAGCATCTGTGGTAAGGGATTGTTATGGTAGAACATATTGATGCTTGAGAATGAAGAAATCCAAATCACCATTAATATTATCAACATCAATCCATATTAACCATATGATTAATAACTTAGTATTTGTTGGTATTGACAGTATTGTTGACCGTGTAAGGTTCCCATTGTGTACTTACCCCAGAGTGACAGCCAGTCTCAATTCTGATGGAAATGAACGTCTCCTGCTACGTTTCAACAGATAAGGCTTTGTTTTTTCCAAAAGCCAATCAAACTGATCAGGTGTCATTCTTGTATAATGGTAAAATTCTTCATGATCAGTGTTCTTGAGTTCTTGAAATAACTGTGAGAAGTCTCCAATTTGGAAAAACGAATTACTGACTGGCCGACGCCACCATCTGGAAAAAATAAACAAATGTAATGCCATTACTATCAGAAAGCACAAAATGATATATCATCATTGTCAAAATTCGACAGTAGTTAGATATACTAACCTCCTTCCTTGACCCTGTCGTGACCTCAGTGCATAATATATCATTAAATTAAACGTATACCACGTTTGCATTAACAGTATAATCAGTAATAAATCTTCCTCTTCCATTCTTTAACATTTTTTAAGAACTTTAAAACTTTTCAAAAAATGCAAAACTTAATTATGAATAAACAAAAATAAAGAAGAAATAAGATCGCAGTGAAATCATAGAGAAAAGAAATACGTACCTGAAATACCTGAAATAATTAGATTGAAATACACTTTAAAATAAATTACAAACTTATCTACTAAAAGGTACAAAAGGATGCAATAAACATTTCAAAATATACAGTAATAAAAAGACAAGCAATATGAACATAGAACATGCGAACATAGTTTGTCGTTTGCCCTGAGAATTGTCATCTTTCCGATTGGCTGAAATGTTATGATGCAATGATCTAATACGACTTATTGTGGATGCAAATTTCTTAAGATTTATGACTTATAATTCTGACTTACCACTAGTGTCATATGAGTAGTGACTAATAGCTTATTGTAGAAAGCCCATATAAGAAATAATGACATTATAATAAGGTTTTTAGCATACTTAAATTCTCATGCATACCGTACTTTATGGTTACTTGTAATCTGGTTGTTTAAAGCTATCATATAACAAAAAATGAAACATAATTATCCATGTTTTTTTATTTTCTCGTATTTTTTCAACTATGCAAGCAATCGGGGTCATGAGAATCACGGAGTGCGGATCGCGGCGCTCGGGCGTGCGAAGAAGGTTATGTCACATACTGTCATTATCTACTTACGTGGGTGGTCTTACGTTATTACCTATTACATTAATTGTTAAAATAAGAGAGTTTGCCATGTCCACTCAAACGACACGGACCTCCAATATCATTTTTAGCAAACTGACTCGTTACACCGAATTTAGTTTTGGTTCTTAGTTTTTTTAAAATAAGAAAGTTTACACGAAAACACAACATGACGGTACTGCTATGCATTGAGAATAATTGCAATCAACCACAATTCAAGTCTTAAAAAGGACATCGTGTATGTTTAATATAAAACATGATTTCCTTCCTGATGATCTTAAGATTGGTGTTATTAGAAGAGGCATGACTTTCAAGATGTGTTGTCCTTCTAAACAATTTTTAAATATAACAAATATAAGAAGATTGTAATATCCGAATTAGTTTTATAAGTAACGATTGTTTTATTAATATGTTCCGAATTTTATAATAACTAACTACTGAAGATGACCACAACCAGATGGTCGAAACGTCTAGATTGACCTAAACATTTGTTATAATATATCAATAAATTAAGCACGAAAATCCAGCTTGGGCTCTGTAGCTTGTTGTTAATAATTTATTTGAATAATTTGAGCCAATATTATAGTTTTAATTAATTGTTAAGTTTATTTGAGAATAAATAAGGTAAGTTGATACTTAGTTACGTAAAAAATGTGCACAAGACATTTAAGGATTAATTTTTATGATTTTTTTATGCGTAATATATAAAAATTAAAATATTTATTTAAAGTAAGTTTATGTAGGTTATACATATTATAATAAAGTAATACATTGAAATTTTGAATTAATTATTGTTTAGATGCCTCGAAAAAGAGAAAGAACTACAGATAAAAGAAAATGGAATAAAGAAACTTTATACAATGCAGTGTGACGTGACGCTTTTCGAGCGCCGTCACAAGGGCGATAGCCCGGCCGAGGGAGCAAAGAGTCCTGGTGTTGCTCCTCGCGTGGAGAGAGCAACCCGCGAGACTCCACAATCTTTGCGCGTTGTTTGTATTGTCATTCCCGTTTTATGTCGTTAATATCGTTTTTTAAGTTGTAAGGCGAGACCCCGTGCGGGCGGCGTTGCGTGTTTTGTGCCTCAGGGCGAAGATGCAGCATCGCCAGGAAGACCGGACGCCGGGGGGATCATCGACGGGTGTCACGCGTTAGTGACCCCAA